TGAAGAAAAACTAAAGAAATTGGAAAACTTCGAGTTGGAGAGTTTGTACTTTTTAGTTGATATTTGTACTTTGGTTATTGTTTGTAATAAACCAGAAAAGTTACATTTATGATAGACTGTGGCGAAGCCAGCCCGACTATTTCAGTGGTTACGCTATGCAAATATTTTCGTGTTCATAGACTGTAAAAACAGTCAATTTCTAAAGAAATGAATAACGATTTTAAATTTGCATATAGCATGACCAAATTTTCGGGCTGGCTTCGCTACTAACGAGAGATCACGCGTCTCTTTAACTCTTTCCCGACAGGTCCCTATTAAACAAATCACTCATGATTTACTCATTTTTGCGGTTCATATCTTCAGTTCGGTAAATGCTACGTGGACCAAAATACCACCATTCGATTCAGTGTAACGATAGCTACTCATTCCTATCGATAGATTTAGTGAACGGCAATATTATAGCGATTTATGAGCTTTGAAAGTCAAACGAGCTCGTATATGGTCAAATTACGCAATATTACTGACAAATTATAAACATAAACATACCTTTCGCCGAATATAACTTCGTTCCATTGAGACGTATGCTCATTCTGATCGTCTTGCTGGATTAAGAAGTTGAAAATAACACGTATAGTGTTATTTTCAAGCTTCTATCTTTAAAATTCGACATTTAGTGCCGAATTTTGTATTTCTGCTCCGAATATGCGTTAATCCCAACCGGAAATACGACGAAAAACCGTCAAAACAATGCTACGCTTGCATCGCGTGACTCTGGAAATGCCAGAAATGGATTCTACAGGTCAAAGTGCACCCATACGTGTGAGTTTTACGTCATCCCGGCTAAAGGGAGCTCCTTATTGGCCAAGTATTACGTAATACAAGCGCGTGCTAGTAAAACCCGATACTTTAAAAATTCAAAATAAATATTTCTAGTCGGCGTATACATACGAAACTTTCTACACGAAAGCGCTTGAATACAAAGAGTATTTTACACATATCCTTTCAGGAAATGACACCAAAGTTTAGAATATATTCAACTTTTTCTCATTTTCTCCTTTGAATGTTTGGCGAACCAGTGAGTATAAAATATATGATTGTTTCGGTTTGTGTAATGTTTTGACGGCACTTGACCCCCCGTTCGAAAGGTTATATTGTGAGGATTTCAATGGTGGCATTTATTTAAAAGAGGGGGTAAATACTCGCCGAGATATTTATATTAGAAAAATTGAATTCGAAATGTAATACGAGACAGGTTGTCCCTACTGCAATTATAACACATCAGTAGCCGAATTTATATTAGAAGACGGATTTCTGTCTGAGACGGAGAACTCGTCTGACGGATTTCCGTCTAATAGAAATAATTTAGGACGCAAAACTAAAAGACAGCCGAAAGATTTATATGCTGTGCATCGTAAAACATCGTGAAACGCCAATTACCACTATTAAATACCAAATGTTGTCAGCTAAAATCTGTCTGATTTATTCGTCTAATGTAAATTTAAGACGAGTTTTCCGTCTAAGACGAATAACCCGTCCAACTTATCCGTCGTTTAGACGGAAAAGTTGGACGGAAAAGTTAAGACGGAGAACCCGTCGTTTACCGAATTTATATTAAGACGAAAATCCGTCTTAGACGAGTTCTCCGTCTCAGACGGAAATCCGTGTTTTAATATAAATCCGGCTAGTGTATACCAAATAAAAATGAAAAGAAATGCAATTAATTAGGAATGTGCATCGGAGCTCATCTCACTTTAGCTCAAAATGACGCAAAAAACTGTCTATATGTATATATTAATTATGTAAATTAGTAGTAGATTGTTCGTCTTCATCAAAAATAAAAAAGTGAACGTCGAAGAAATTGCTCGCTTGTTTCAGATAGACCGATGACCTAATCTTCGTATCTACTGTACTTATCACGCCACACTCGCACCCCATCACAAGATCATTGTAATTTGTAAATTGTTGTTCAAATAGACATAATGGTTTTCTTTTTAAAGTATATGGGATTATGAGTTCGATTACTGTAATGCTCCCACCTATGTTAAGGTCGCAACATCTTACAAATGCATGGTCGATTCTCAGTAACCCATATTATATAGTGCAGTATGCGGAACACGTAATCATCATCATCAATCAATTTTATTTAAAATCAAAACACGCTAGCCTCGCACAACTAAAAGCTGATTTACAGGAGGGGCGTGATATATAAAACAGTAGAATATATGGAATATTATATGAACCCCCCAACCTTCCCCCCAACCTTCCCCCCAACAACAAACTGAGAAAAATAAAACAAACTGAGAAAAATAAAGTCAAGTAAAGTAAATAAAGAGAGTTAACTATAATTAAGTCAACATGGTTCTAAAAGGACAGTTCCGCAATACTACGCTTAAATTGACTGAGCGAAGTCGCTCTTTTTGCATCTAATGGAAGATTATTCCACAGCATTGATGCGCTATATTTAAAGTGCCTATATCAGGGTCAGGGAAATGATTTTTCCTGATAGTTTAGACAATTTTAAGAGCATTTGCAATATATTTGATAAGACGAAAATTTGATCTTCTTGGACTTTTTGGGCCTCAAAGTTGCGGATTTTGGCAAATTTTTGTGTTTGACCGTGAGATACAATTACTGGTAACTAGTTGTGTTGTGAGGCGGAAGTGACGTAGGAATGAGAAGACATGCTTTCAAAACAACAGGACATTTATAGTAAAACAGCAACACTGAACACTTTATCCTTTTTAAAAACACGAGAAAAGAATATTTTATCGGTTTTTTGTTTATTTCGCTGAACGTCCATGGTTCAGAGATGCCACATAGGTGTGTACCATATGGATGCTCCAACATTGCTAGCCAAAATGAAGGAATATCGCTGAACAATATTCCGTATGCGTCTATGCGAATGACGATCGGCCAGAGGCAAATATAAAGCGAAGGAAACGATAGGTTGACTTTGTGAAACGAAAGAGACTGAACTTCGAACCAACAGCTTCATCGAAGATATGCTCAAGACATTTTATGGTCGAAGATTTTGTGAGACCATTCGCTGCTGGTTTGACGACTGAGAAACCAAAATTGAAACAGCTACTAAAGAGAGACAACTTTGGT